GAGACAGGAAAAGAGACAGAGATAGATAGATAGATAGAGAGAGAGAGAGAGAGAGAGAGAGAGAGACAGACAGACAGACAGAAAGACAGACAGACAGACAGACAGACAGGGCGAGAGAGGGGGGAGAAAGAGAGACAGTGAGAGAGAAAAAGAGACAGAGGGAGAAAAAAAGACAGACAGACAGACCGACAGAGAGGGAGAGAGAGATTGCAGAGGGACACTGGAAAACGAGTAGATTTGCTGAAAATTAAACCGATTATTCCTTTAATTACGGTGATATTATTTTTTCAAATCTATAGAGACGTAGTAATGTATCTGCGTCTATTTGTTTATTAAAATGCATGTTAACTTAAAGGTCGAGGGAGGTGGGGTTGCCTAAGATATGCGATAGAAATCACAGGCCTCCTTCTTTGTTAAAGGCCTAGTAACCTAGTGAACTGACTACAGACTGTACTACATTTTCTCATGACATGACAGCATCCCTGAGCATCACTGTGGCAGCGATCCCCACGCATAAGTGTTTTCGCGCCCCGCGCCGGGCGATATGCGAAACAATGCACTGTTGTTATAGAGCGCCGCCACGAGTGTCACCTCTCTAATATTACTGTAAACCCTCTCTGGTGACAACAAGTGAGAAAGAGATGGAGTGAAGCTAAGTGAACTTTCTTTCAAAAGTAAAGAGATTCAGTTTCTTTTTTTTTCTTTTTTTTTTTTCTTTGACTTTTCGGGGACCAAAAAAATGCCAAAAAATCGAGCCACTAACTGATTGGTTGCGGCCGCGACAAACACAGATGCTAGTTCTATGTGTCGTTATCAATAAACCCTCTATAGATCTAGATCTAGATCTATACAGCACACGAGTGAACACAACACATTAAGTTTAAGAGCAGCACCCTTCATGAATAGGCAACACGTCATAGCGAAAAACTGTTTGGAATTGTAGCATTTCTTTTTATTTATATAAATATTTACTGATGACATTTTTTGGACCAACTGAACATACGAACAATCTTTGGTAGGCCTATAATATAATAGATCCGAAATTTGCGGGAAAGGGTGTGATTTCAGAGTGTTTGGAGAAATAGTGCCCAGCTTTATTTTCCCAAACGTTTGGAGAAATAGTGCCCAGCCTTATTGTCCCGAAAGTTCGGAGAAATAGTGCCGGCCTATTTTTATTTTCACCCCGAGTGAGAATAACGACAGCCTAAGATCATACACTGCACTTCGACCTGTGATGAAAGAATTCCATTATTAATATTGACTGTCACTATTGTCAGTATGAGTCTTGAGACAATTTACAACAGTAACATGATCATCATATATATATATATATATCATAATGGAGGTGTTAATTGCGACAGAGTGAACACAGAGAAGCTCTTTTATGTTGATGATTAACATTTCCCAAATATCGAGGCAACAAATATTATGTCAAATAAAACATTAGCAGCATAGAATTGTCAAAAACCCCACAATCCTTGTGACAAGGGGCAACAACAGCGACAACAACAGCAAAGAAAAGAGCTGCAACTCTGTCTTTGTTTGTCTGTTAGTCTGGTGTGTGTGTGTGTGTGTGTGTGTGTGTGTGTGTGTGTGTGTGTGTGTGTGTGTGTGTGTGTGTGTGTGTGTGTGTGTGTAGTGTGTGTATGTGTGTGTAAGGCCACAAGTGTGTGTGGTGAGCGTTTGTGTGTGTGTGTTGGTGTCTAGTGTCTGTGTGTGTGTGTGTGTGCGCGTGTGTATTTGTGTGTGTGCGTGTGTGAGTACGTATGTGTGCATGTTGTTTTTCTTTTTAAATTCTTTTTTGTTACAGACTCACTCTGTCGCAATTATTGCCGCATTATTAATTGTCACAGCGTCACTCTGTCGCAATCAATACCCTACCTCTAATATTATTGTCATGCATGGCATTTAAGAAAGGTAATGTCAATTGCCACCGAGTAAATTGGAGCTCTTTTGCGTTGGTGGGTAGATCAAGCTTATTATTGTGCTCGAGTGCTCGGTGTTGTGCGTTCGCCTCTCTGTCCCTCTGTGTGTGTCTGTGTTTGTGTGTGTCTTTTCCTGACCCCCGTCCCCCGATTTATGTTCCCCGATATAACGTCAATTTCTGCTTGAGTTTGTGACCTTCTAATTCTAGAATTGCCTCTGTATTGGTTCTACATCAAAGTGTAGGCTAAGGTGGCCTAGATCTAGGCCGACGTCTCATTGAAAACTGCCAAGTTGGTACCGTAGCTCTAGACTAGATGCTCGTCTAATGAAATTATTGAGAACAAATTGACCCATTAGACACACATTATTCATTATACGTACAATGCTAAAGATAGTGTTGTTTTCAGACTTGACACCGCTTCACTCGGTGGCAATTGACAAAAAGACAATTTTTGTCAATTGCCACCGCGTCACTCGGTGGCAATTGACGCTACCTTTAGAAAGTGGCTATTCTCACCCGCCCGGAAGTTCTCGCAAGATCAACTCATCCCCTCTTCTCTCTCTCTCTGTCTCTTTCTGAATACTGTCTATCGGTGTGGACGATCAAATTGACCAAAACAAAGTTAAAAAATGATGTTAAAACACAAAAGTAAATAAATTTGGTTGTCTACAAAGATGCTACGGCTAGTTAACTTTTCGAATCGAGCCGAACTACGCGGGTCGCCATTTTGTTTTGCCCGGAAAATCTCGCGCTACTCCTCTCTCTCTTTCTCTCTCTCTCTCTTTCTCTCTGGCTGAGTGTTGTTGTCAAGTGTCAAAAGTGATCGTCAACAACCAGCATCCTGTCATTCAGTTCATAAGATAGTCATTGCAACACCATAGAAGTAGGGCAAAGTGTTGAAGGGACAGATCTCAAGAAAAGCCTTTCCAATTAGACAAAATTGTACGCTTTTAGTAGGCTACAGTTGTAATGGAACGTTTGTTCACGGCACAGAATTCTACAATTTTTCTGTTATCACAGTGTAGAATTCTGTGGTTTAGGGTGAACACAAAATTTGGTGAACGCGCACTGGGTGAGAATAGTCACAAGACTCGCCTGCACTATTCTCACTCCGGGTGAGAATAGAGGTGGCCCTACCTTTAAGAAAAGTAAAAGTAAAACCATGCATCAATCATGCTTTTTTACTTTTTTATTCTCTAGATCTGATCACAGCATGATCTGGATCTAGATCTAGATCTCGATCTCTAGACATCTAATGTTTAAGGAATCCCAGAAGTAGGCCTTTTTAAAATAAATATAGAGATCTAAGTTCCTATTAGATAAAGGCTAATTAAAGTATGCTAATGCTAAAGTAAACCAAACCTGCATGCAATCAAACAAACACAGCCTAAGCCTTGATCAAGAGGAGGCAGATCTATTACTATCATAAGCCCAATCTCCTTCAATGACAAAGAGTATGAGATTGTCACTGTACCACGCTAGCATGGCATGGCATGGCGTGCGTGTGTGACAAAAAAGAAAAAGGAAAAGAAAACAACAACTAGAATCTAGAGTCTAGATCTACAACTACACAGATAAGATCAATCCCCAGATCAACTTTCAACGGATGACTGCTGCCAAGCAATGTTAAATTCACATTCAAGGTTACCTGAATATTTATTTATAAGATAAAGAAAAGATAAGTTTGCAATCAGCGTGTCGCACAGTCTCACCCAGGCACAAGAACGGGTATGAGAAAGGGCTAATTCTGTCTGATACTATTACGTATTTTCACGTAAGAAATTAAGGCCCGTCGCCATCTTGAATATCACAGCTGTGCTTTGTTTACACTGATGACTGGGTCACTTCAAATGAGTTTGACAACGAATCTTGAGCTAAAATGTACACATTATACAATAAAAAGGTTGAAGAGTAAGAACAGAATGCGAACCTCAACAGAATAGAATCCCAGTCACTAAATCTTCACATGATTTAGAAAGTGTATTCTCTCGTGTGTAATATTGGAAACTCGGTCAGGTTTATTTTGGTTTGGGTACTGGTACATTATTGCTTTTTCATGCCGAAGAGCTTATTATGGCTTGGACTTTGTCAGTTTTCACTAATCTTATCCAGATTATTATGATACACAAACGTTAAACCGAAACAATAGAACAGAATAACGATGGATGTTATTTTTTTAAACTGAAGAAAAAAAATAGACTAGAATTGATTGTAATCCGAAGCTTGCATCGTTTGCTTCCCCGGAAACTGGAAGTATTTCTGAGTGATCTGGGGTCTGCTTACCCTACCTAAGGCTTAGGGCTTAGGTAGCAATGGCTGTCAAGCGCATACATTGGAGCGTGGATTGCCTAGAATCTAGAGATAATATCTATACGATGGATAATTATTGTCAATAATTATTATTTTATTATTATACTCAGTACGGTGTACTTTTTAGCTGGAGCAGGTGTTGTGGGGATCTCAAGGTAGACAAGAAAGGCTCAAAGGATGCAGACACTGAGAAGGCCTAGATGCAGATCCATTGAAATGATGAATCGATCTTTGTGTTCATATTGTTTGTTGTTTTTGTATGGTTTTTCTTTTTTAAGTTTTCTTTTTTTCTTGGGGGGAGGGGGTTGTCGGGTTTCTTTCTTTTAGTCAAACAATTTGTTGCAACAAAGATTGCTGTTCGATGTAAAGCTTCCTGTTGGG